GAGTCAGAAATTTAAGGGCATCTTCAGTTACAGCTTGAGACTCGCCTGGCAAACATTAGACCCCATTTCCTCTCCTCCCAGAAAAAAATGGAGACTTTCATCCCACATAAAATTAAAACCATTTAAAATGCATTTTTACAAAATAGAAACTCTCCCATCTTAACAAACTTTCATAAATTTTTTTCATACGTGTAAACATCATTGCTAAGTCAGAAACGAGGGGAAGGATAGTGTTAAAAAGGAAGAGGGCTCATACAGATATAAACCACTTCCATTTCTAGTCCAACAGAATGTGGAATATGCAGAGAAATGCAATCCACAAGTGAATACGGAGGCAGAATATATACTGAATAAGGCTGAATATATACTCCCAGCAAGCCCTCAGAAAATTTGAGGAAAACATTACCTTTGATAGGACTTGGAATCATGATACAAATCAACTACACCCAAATCTTAAGGGCAGAGAGATACCAGTAGGAAAAATGGCTTTGACCACAAACAGATTGTAACTGGAAAATGGTGAGGAAGGAAAGGAATGAAATTAAGAAAGCCATGGCCACTTGGGAGTTCCCATGGGGTGATCAAGACAGAGTCATGACACAGTAACTTCATTTCCTTTGTAAGTGGGGTTGTAGACTGGCCAACCCATGATGCCACAGGCAGTATATCTTGACTGCAAAAATGTCTTTAAGAACGTGGCTAAGAGGCCTCTCAGAAAGTAGATAAACCAGAAGCCGCTTCTGTGTGACCGGATGGAGGAGAAGAGTCTGAGAAAGAACACATTATAATCCAAAGGTAAGGAGGAATCCGTTTTGGAACTTCCTAACATAGGTGGAACAGATGGAAAAACCATGGAGAAAAGGCAAGCATCGCACAGGTCGAACACAGGCCCAAGAAAGCAAAAGCCTGACCCAAAGGGTATCCAGAATTGTTTCCCCACTTTCTATTTCGTTACTGTTTGTGGCATGTTAGCGGGTTCTAATGACTGCAAGTGTGTGCACGTATCTTGTGCAGCTGGTGCACTTGTGCCCTAGCGATCTGTTTTCTCCTCTCTGAGTGCTGTTGGGGACTGAGCCCTCAAGAGTAGGTGGCCTGGAAAGGCAGCCAAATAAAACAGGAAGAGATGCCCAGACTAGAAGATATCTAAACCATAACACAGAAACTGGCAATATAAAAAATCAAGGCAATGTGACTCTCCAAGAGGTCTCTCCTCAACTAAGGAGCTCAAAGACACTGAGATAGGAAAACTGCAGGGTGGAATTTTCAAACCTTGGGCCATCGAGATGACTCAGCGGGCTCAGTGCTTGCTGTGCAAACTAAATGACTTGAGTCTAGTAACCAGGGCCCACATAAAGGACAGAAGTGTCGTCTGACCTTCATGAAAGCACTGTGCACCTATACCCATGCATACAGAGAGAGAGAGAGAGAGAGAGAGAGAGAGAGAGAGAGAGAGAAATTTGGTGCTTGTTGAGAAGGGTTTCTGTAGGAGGAAGGGGGAATCAGTAGTCATGGAAGGTGGGGGTGGAAGAGTCCAAGAATAAGAAGCAGTGAATGACTACAAGAGACATCTGGACGCAGCAGAGCAGCTAGCTGCACAGAGGGACTCAAAGAGGCTGTGGCAGTGCCCGAGAGCTGTGCAAGCTTAAGTCAGACCAGATCCCAGCATGAAGAGGAGAGGAGAGCACAAAGTTCTGTCCCTAGCAGAGGAGCTACTGGGGAGGGACACTGTAGCATCCGGCAAGTCAGCCGTGTGCCAGTGGGAGGGCGCACATCCAAGAATATGAGCAACACATTTGGACTTGATAGGTACTTAAAAGCGAATGTTTTTAAGAGATTGTTGAGGTGGCCAACCAATGGCTGGTCAGCCTGGGAGCCTGGGACCCATGACATAAGAGAGAGGGCCAGGATCAAGGGTTGGATGGCCCAGAGACCTAGAATGGAACCGAACATGAACATGGGGGAAGTCAATGAAATGATTCCTAATGATATTCTGCTATACTCATAGATCGGTGCCTAGCCCAATTGTCATCCGACAGGCTTTATCCAGCAACTGATGGAAACAGATTCGCAGACCAACAGCCAACATTAGGCAGAGGTCTGAGAATCCTGTGGAAGGTGGGGAGGAATGACGGTAGGAGACATTTTCTTTATTCATTCTTTGGTTGAAGGACATCTGGGTTGTTTCCAGTTTCTGGGTATTATGAAAAAAGCTGCTATGATGCATAGTTGACCAAGTGTTCTGTGGTATGATGGAATATCCTTTATATGCCCAGGAGTGATATAGCTGGGTCTTGAGTTAGAACCATTCTCAGTTTTCTAAGAAACTGCCACAGGCAGTAGCACCAGGATCTGACTTTGTAGAACCCGTTCTCTATGGAGAGATACCTTGCTCAGTATAGGCACGGGGTGACTGGGGGAGGAGAGCTTGATCCTGCCTCAACAAGGTGTTGGGATAGACTTAGTAAACTTCCCAGGGGAGGCTTTACCCTCACTGAGAAGCAGAAGGAGGGGTAGAGTTGGGGGGGGGGGGAATGTAGGGAGAGTGGGAGGAGAGGAAGGAGAGGAAACTGGAATTGGTTTGTAAAGATAATAAATTATTAATTTAAAAACAGAAAGTCAAAAAAAGCTGGCAAGAAACAAGCCAAGCTAAAGCTGAACATTTGTAAGTAGGAATAAACCTCCATGTAGATTTATTTGGGAGTTGGGTGGCAGATCCCACAAAAAGCAAAAACATCACACAACAATGCTACTTGAGCAAAGTAGAAGGGTACAGAGCAACAATTTAAAAAATCATTACCCTTTCTGAATGTGAATAAATACCTTGATAAAAATGAAATCAGAATGCAAACATTTCAGTAACAATAGCTTTATATGTGTATGTGTGTATACACACACACACACTCACACACACACACCTAGGAATAAACCAAGCCCAGGAGGTGCAATACATCTATAAGAAAACCTTAAGACACAAAGAAAGTTCCAGGGAAATCCCCAAACAACTAAGGCTATTTATTTCCAAGGTTATTGGTTGCTCCTCACAAACTAATGGTAGGCCCTATTGCTGAAGGCAACACTTATATCTCATTGAAAAGAGAAGCTGAACTGGTGCCTCTCTAGAGCCTTCACCCCTAGTGACTCATGTTCACAGTACTAGAAGGTACTCTGCCCGCTACAAGAGGAGAAAAGCAAACACCAACCCAGCGGTAAAACCTGCAATCTACAACAGTGACCTGTCTGCCTGACACACGGGTGCACTAGTGGCACAGCATTGTGGGAGTAACCAACCGTCTGACTTGATTTAAGGCCCAGATAGGCCATGGAGGTAGGGGGAAAACTAACATTGTTGTTCTGATAAAGGAATGTAACAATAAAAAGGCTCCTAACAACATTCTGCTGTACTCATAGATCGTTGTCTTGCTCATTTATCATCAGAGAAGCTTCTTCATACAGAAGAGGGGAACAGTCAGAGAATGAGAGACCTTAGAACACTCAGCCCTAAATAGGATGTGTTCATCGACACCCTCCCCTCCCAACTCAGGGAGCACTGTAGAAGATGAGGCTGAAAGAGTCTAAGAGTCAGAGGGAATGGAGGACACCAGGGAAATAGCGTTTTCCAGATCCAACCGGACTGACGCATGTATGAACTCACAGACACTGTGGCAGTACGCACAAGGCCTGCAGACGTCCAAGCTAGATGCGATTCCAGCACTGAGAGAAGAAAGTGATCCTGAGCTCCCATCCCTAGCCAACTGACAGCTGTGTGCAAAGGGAAAACTGGTTTTCTCCAGCGGAGCCTCACTGGGTATGCGAAGCTCTCTTAAGGGCAAGCCCCACGTGGGCACAATGGTAGACGGCCAATACAGAACTAAGTCAATAGTGTTCTCTTTTAGACTGTTTGTCTCATATTGCTTAGTTTGGGTATTTTTATTACCTCACTGATCTTTTGATTGTATATTATGCTTTCTAATTTTGTGGTTGTGTGTATGTTTATGTCTATGTGTGTCTCTCTGTATCTGTACGTGTCTCTCTGTGTCTGTGTGTGTCTGTGCCTGTGTATATGGGTGCCTCTTGTGCTTTTTTGTTACTTTTTGTTGTTTTATTCTGTTTTTTTAATTCTTAGCTTGGGGGTTGTATTTTGTTTTTATTTTTTTAAGAAGGCATGGAGTTGGATGGGTGGGGAGATGGGGAGGATCTGGGAGGAGGTGGGAGGGGGGAAGCCATAATTAAAATAAATTGTATGGAAAACATTACTTTTGATTAAAATTTTTAAATTAAAAAAAGAATAGTGAGGTTATGGTTCTAACAAAGAACATTTGCCCGGTGGATGTGCAGCCATAAGTTTCACCACCTAGGACCACAAAAAGAGAGCAGTAGTAGCTACTTACCAATGAGGGTAAAACTCCGAGCATCTCAAGCTTCAAGTTAAGGCTTCTCTTCCTCAGCCTATTTACACTTATACATTAATGATATTATCTCCATCACTCTGTGATGTCACTTGTTTAATTAATATGGTGTTCTGAGGAAGTGGCTTAGCAGGTAAAGCATTTGTTCTGTAAGTGTGAGGACTGGAGTTCAAGTCCTCAGCAGCACAGAAAATCCAAGTGGCCGTGGAGGCTTATGTGTAACCCTAGAGCTCAGGAGTTGGATATGGGTGAGCCCCAGAGAGGCTAGCTAGTCAGACTAGCCAAATCATGAGCCCAGGGTCTAGGCAGAGACCCAGCTTCAGCTAATAAAGTAGAGGGCAATCAAGTAAGGCACCTAATATCAATATCTATTCTCCACACTCACTCAGTGTTTATACATCCAGAATTTCCACAACTTTAGGACTGCTAAGTTCTAGTTTCATTCCTGGGGGTGTACAAGGAGGTAGTTTTCACAACCCTGTCTGGTCAGCTCCTGATAAAGTGGGGCAGGAAGCACCAGGATTGATGCTTGCTTCAGAGCGGGAATTAAAAATGAAAGCAATGCCAAAGCAAATTAAGTCATCTTCTACTTACAGATGACACATGCTGCAAGAGACACATGACATCAATCATGTCCACAAGGATAAGGAGTCTCGTAACGGCTGCCAACAAGGCGCGGGCGGCTTGAACCACAGCCTCCCTTTTCGGGAGGTAACAGGGGTCATCTGTAAATCTCTCGGCTGACGCCTTCAGAGCATTGCCTGGAAAACACAACCCCAAGTAAGTTATCATGTGAGTGTCAACAACAGCTACTTGGGCATCAGTCAGCCAACCTAACCCCAAGAATATTCCATGAATAACCACAATATTAAAATAAACTGTCGTATGGTACACCGAGCAGCACGTCTTAAAACAACACCGCTTCCAATCGGCACTTGTTTGTGACGAGCGCTCTGGGGTCCAGAGAGGCATCACGCCATCTTCTGGAGAAACTCTCGGCTGACGAGCAACATCAAGTAAAAATGGCTGCCTGCTTCTGCGGTTGCCCCAACTCCCAACACTGCCAAGTGGTTCACGACTAAAACTTCACTCAGATACAAAGGTCGTTGTTTGTAAAAGTGAAGAGGGGCTTCCCTGAGTTGTAGTTGTCTGCTAACTCAGTAGAGAATAGAGGTGTCCTTTAACACAGTGCCAGCAGACTGCGAGTGTCGCTCACTAGGAAGAGTGCTTGCCCAACACATGTGAAGCCCTGGAGTCAATCCCCAGCACCCACACACCAGACATGCCAGGGCACACTTATAATCACCCCACTCTAGAGGTAGTGATCCAAAATACAAGGTCATTCTCAGGCTACGCAAAATATGATAGCCTCTCTCTGATAATAGTTTACCATAGGCAGACTTATTCTATATAATGTAAAGTCTAGACTTTAGTCACAAAAATAATATTACAAATACATCATTGTCAGAGGAACAACATCCCTTCTATTTTCAAGGCCTTCTGACTTAAAATATTTGCTTTCAGAGCTACCGATATGGAAGAGCCTACAGTGAAAAGGGAAAGGCTGCCTTCTCCATCCCCTTCCCCAGTGACCAGACTCACAGAGAATGACTACATCTGTTGTTCAAGTTTCACAATATAAACTTATTTCATCATTAAAGTAATATGTGTCTAGTTCTTTTATATAACACAGTAGAGCTGGTGATGAGTGAGTAAAGGGTTTTGGCCACTAAAAAGTCGGCCTAAGTTCATGCCCCAGGATTCGCATGAGGAAGGAGAGAGCTCACTCCCCAAAGTTGTCATCTGACCACACACACGTCCTGGCACGTGCACACACTAAATAAGTTAGTTAATTAACTAATTAACAAATAAATACAATAAATCTCCTTAAAAAATAATAACTCAGAATACTAAAAAGTATAAAGTAAAAATATTTAGTTCTGGACTGGAGAGATGGCTCAGAGGTTAAGAGCATTGCCTGCTCTTCCAAAGGTCTTGAGCTCAATTCCTAGCAACCATATGGTAGCTCACAGCCATCTGTAATGAGGCCTGGTGCCCTCTTCTGGACTGAAGAAAGAATACTGTATACATAATAAGCAAATAAACAAATATTTTAAAAAATATTTCGTTCTCCATACTGATACCTAAAAACACCAACTATTCTGTTTTATATACTTATATAGAAATTTCTCACTGAAGTTCTGTTTCATGTCTCTGTATACACGTTTTTTATAAATGCATCTGCATGCTTTATATATGCATACTTTGCAGATATATTCATACACGTCCACATTTAACACAAATATGCAGAGATTTCATACCACATAAAAACATAATCATTATACATACTATAAATGGGAAAGGCGATGGATGCTGAGCAGCTTCTCAAGGAGAATCATCTCACAGAAACTCTCTACGGTTTGTTCACTGCGCTCACCAGTTACTCTCTGTACCCCGTGGGATGACGGATGGTCAAGAGCCACAGCAATGAGCAGTGCAGGTGCCTGAGTCACACAGGCTCCCCAGGTCTGCTCTCATGCCTTCCCTATGCTCTACTTTCCTTGGTTGTTAATGGAATAATAAAAATAGCAGTGGTTTGCCCCTAACAAAATATTTGGTTGTGGTTTTTTTTTCAGAAATTAATAAGCTATCTTAGAATTCTTAAAGAAATTTCAAAAGACTAATAATAACCAAAACCATCTTGGAAAAGAATTGACATTCCCAAAAGCAATTCTTAGGCAGGTAGTGGTGGCACGCACCTTTAATCCTAGCACTTAAGAGGAAGAAGCAGGCGCATCTCTGTGAGTTCAAGGCCAGCCTGGTCTACAGAACTAGTCCCAGGACAGAATGGCTACACAGTGAAATCCTGTCTTTGAAAAAAAAACTGAAAAAAAAAGCAATCCTTAAGATTTATGGTCATCTGGTTTTCAACAAAGATTCCAAGAAAAGTCACTAAGAAAGTGGTCATGTTTTGTGTGTGTTTGTTTTATTTTGCAATAAATGGCTCTGGTATAATAAGATAGTCACATGATAGAAAACATGATTCTCTGTCTCACATTATATGCAAAAGTCAACTCAGAGTGGGTCATAGAATCCCATGCAAAACCTCATGATCTCAGGCTCTTCAATAATATCTTAAATGTCGCACCAAAAGCACATGCAATAAAATGACAAACTAGGCTATCAAAACCTAATATTTCTGAACTTTATTTTTAAGATGTATTTTTACTATTTTTAATCATGTGTTTACGCACACACGTGTGTGTGTATGTGTGTGTGTGCATGTGCAAGAATATGAATATGCTTGTGAGTGCAGCTGCCTGAAGAGGTCCAGGTGTTAGGTTCCCTGAAGCTGGAGTTACAGGTGGTTGTGAGCTGCCCCAAGGGGAAGCTGAGAAAAAAGCGTGTATCCTCTGCAAGCATGGTACATGCCTTGACCACAGAGCCATCTCTTCAATCATAAATTCTGAACTCTAAATGAGAGCATCGAGAAAGTGAATGGGGGACTGGGGAGACGGCTCAGCAGTTAAGAGAATGTGCTGTGCTTAGAGAGGGCCCCAGCTGGAACTGTCCCAGAATCTACACGGTGGCTCACAACAGTCTCTCATTCCATTTCCAGGAGACCTGACACCCTCTTCTGCCTCACTTTTCTGACCTTCAATGGAGCCAGGCACACACATGAATCAGGTAATACACTCATACATATAAAACAAAAATAATGAATTCTTTAATTTAAAAAAGAAAATGAAAAGACAACCTATAAATGAGGGAAGACACTTTGAAATCGTATCTCTAAGAAGAGGCTTGCAGCCCTCCCATCAGGGAAAGAAGCAGCGCTCACGTGTTGCTATTTGCTAAGAGATGGAAGAGATGAGAAAAGAATTTTAAATAGAAACCGCAGCAATTATGCTGGCATCTGTAGACTCTCTGACTCCTGGTCACTATCACTACCTTATGCTGCTGAGGAAATACGAATTCTCTCCGAGTAAGCAGCTTTGCCTGCAGACAAACACTGAGATGACAGAATATGATCCCAACTCAGACATGCTGAACTCCAAGCACGGTGCCCTCGTTGCCACAGTATGTCCTTTCTAGATATGGAATCCAACTGATGGAACTAAAACCAAATGTGTCAACATTTCACGTTTCCACCTTCAATTCTGATGGCATATGGTTGTAAACAAAGATAGGTTTGCCAAGAATCTGACACACATATCAAGACTGCTAACAAACCTCCCAAGTTCATCCTCTCGGGTGATACTTAAGGTAGGAAAATAAATTCAATGACCCTGACTTTTCGGACAGTCTGTAGAAAACTTCTGGCAATTTGCAGGCCTCCATTAACTCACTCCCTGTTATGGAGAGGGCCAGAAATTGATGTCTATCATATAAGTGTTACTAAGTAGATATTATAACTGAATTAAATGACAAAAACTCTAGTTTAAAGCTTGTAAATAATAAAAAGATAAAGCAACTTTTAAGTTTACTTATTTTATTATTTTTATCTGTATGAGTGTTTTACTTGGTGTATGTGTGTATATTGTATGTGAGCTTGCTGCTCATGAAGACAGAGAGGGAATCATATTCCCTGGCACTAGAGTTACAGACAGCTGTGAGCCGCTTTGCGGTTATTGGGACTTGAACCCAGGTCCTCTGCAAGAGCAGCAACTGCTCTTAGCTGTTGAGCTTACTCTCCAGCTCTAATCTGACTTTTAAATAGGCAAAGGCCCTAAATAGGCATTTTAAAGAAGGAGAAATACAAATGGCTAATAAGCACATAAATAGATTTTCTAGTGTGAAGACAATCTAAATTATTAAAGCATAATTACATCTATATTAGAGTTTTAGTAAGGTCTTTCATCAAGATTGTTTGATTGGTTAAATATAGGTAGACATTTAGTTGTAGTCAATATGAAGACATTGAAGACCGAAGAGCACAGCAGGAGAAACAAGAGTGGCCATGTGTCTGTGTGTGCTGGAAGGATCCCGGTAGTCACTGCTACGCACAGGAACAACTCCTAGGAAGCAGAGGAGAAAGGCAGTGTATGCATTGTTACTAGTTTCTTCCCGTGGTTAGGGATTGGGGAAACTCAAGATTATTGAAAGGTTGACTGAAGGGTGCTGGTGGAGGTCTCTGGTGCACAGCACTACAACAGAACCCATGAGCAGGCGCTGGAGAGATGGCTCAGTGTTTCAGAGTGTGCTGCTCTTGCCGAGGACTCGTTAGTTTCCCAGCACCCACACTAGGTGACTCACAATGCTGACCCCAGCTCCAGGGAATCCTCTTCTGGCCTCCACTGGCAACTTCAGTCACATAAACGTATCCTCACAAATGCATAGACATAAATTTTTAAATGTCAATAAATCTTTTTTAAAAAATAGTGGGGCTGAAGAGATGACTCAGTGGTTAAGAGCTTCTTTTTGACTTCTTTTCCAGAGGACCTGAGTTCAAGTCCCAGCACACAAATGGTCGCTCATAACTATCTATAATGGGATTTGGAGCCTTCTTCTGCTATGCAGGCCTACATGCAGATAGAACACTCAAATACACAAAATACACATAAATAAATAAATTCCTAAGTTAAAAAGATACAGCAATGAGCGAGCACGCAGAGTGGGGAAACGGGGAGATCCCCGGATACCCTGCAAAGAATAATACTATTAGCTAAACTAGAAAAATTGAGCAGTTGAAACTAATTAAACCATCTCTAATAATTCTCCCATTATAATCCCAAAATAGGTTATTATTTTGTTCTCCCTT